ACATTCATGATACAGTACATTGGCCTGTATGCCAGTCGCAGGATATAGTACTCTTGACTGTTATCAGTCATGATACAGTTACACTTGACTGTATCCCGGTCTTGGAATAGACGCAGTATATTATAATTGCTGTATCCAGTTCAGATACAGTTACACTTGCCTGTATCCAGTCATGTTACAGTTACACTTTGGACTGTTTCAGTCATGCATGATACTGAAGCGCACGCTTGAATGTATCCAGTCATGACATAGTACACTGACTAGTAGATCCCAGTCTATGTTATAGTACACTTGGGACTGTATCTGTCATGAGACAGTACTACTTGCCCTGTATAGTCATGATACTGTCACTTGCCTGTATCCAGTCATGATACAGTTGCACTTGTCTGCGTATGCCCTAGTCTTGATATTGTCACACTTGTATGTTTTCAGTCATGATACAGTGCACTTGACTGTTTTATCCAGTCGATGATATAGTACACTTGACTGTATACACGTCATGATACAGTATACTTGACTGTATCCTTGTACATGATACAGTACACTTGACTGATCAGTACCATGATACTGGACTCTTGACTGCACCAAATGTCATGATACAGTATACTTGACTGTATCCTTGTCATGATACAGTACACTTGACTGTATCCAGTCATAATACAGTACTCTTGATTGTATCCAGTCGATGATATAGTGCTAATTGACTGTAATCACAGTCATGATACAGTACATGTACATTTGACTGTATCTCTTCTGTGAGCGTAAGAACATGGAGGAGGAACACTGCAGGAGGCCTACTGACCCATACTAGGCAAGTTCTTCTCAAACCCAAATACACTAACAAAAATATACGTAAATGGTACACAATACCGACAAGATTAAAATTAAACACATATGTAACATCTATGTATCTTAAGTGTAGACTTTTGCTCACCAGTGGCTTTATCAGTCCAAATTCTAGGACATAATTTGTAAACAGTAGATGTATATACGAAAGATGAGGTGTTCAGTCCCTCAGCCTTGTTGTTGGTGAAGATTCTGGTGCACAGGTTAGGTTAGGTTAGTATGTTAGGTTAGGTTAGTATGTTAGGTTAGGTTAGTATGTTAGGTTAGGTTAGTATGTTAGGTTAGTATGTTAGGTTAGTATGTTAGGTTAGTATGTTAGGTTAGTATGTTAGGTTAGTATGTTAGGTTAGTATGTTAGGTTAGGTTAGTATGTTAGGTTAGTTATGTTAGGTTAGGTCTAGTATGTTAGGTTAGCTATGTTAGGTTAGGTTAGTATGTTAGGTTTATTATGTTAGGTTAGGTTAGTATGTTAGGGTTAGTATGTTATGTTAGGTTAGGATGTTAGGTTAGGTTAGTATGGTTAGGTTGTATGTTAGGTTAGGTTGAGTATTGTTAGGTTAGGTTAGTATGTTAGGTTTAGCTATGTTAGGTTAGGTTTTAGATATGTTAGGTTTAGGTTTAGTATGTTAGGTTAGGTTAGTATGTTAGGTTAGGTTAGTATGTTAGGTTAGTATGTTAGGTTAGGTTAGTATGTTAGGTTAGTATGTTAGGTTAGGTTAGTATGTTAGGTTAGTATGTTAGGTTAGGTTAGTATGTTAGGTTAGGTTAGTATGTTAGGTTAGGTTAGTATGTTAGGTTAGTTTGTTGGGTTTAGGTTAGTTTGTTAGGTTAGGTTAAGTTATGTTAGGTTTGGTTAGTAGTTAGGTTAGTATGTTAGGTTTAGGTTAGTATGTTAGGTTAGTATGTTAGGTTAGTATTGTTAGGTTAGTTTGTTAGGTTAGTATGTTAGAGGTTAGGTATGTTAGGTTAGATATGTTAGGTTAGTATGGTTAGGTTAGGTTAGTTATATGTTAGGTTGTATCTGTTAGGTTAGTATGTTGGTTAGTAGTGTTAGGTTAGTGTTAGGTAGTAGTTAGGTTAGGTTAGTATGTTTAGGTTAGTATGTTAGGTTAGGTTAGTATGTTAGGTTAGTTGTTGGTTAGGTTAGTATGTTGGTTAGGTTTGTATGTTAGGTTAGCGTTGTATGTTGGTTGGTTAGTATGTTAGGTTAGTATGTTAGGTTAGGTTTGTATGTTAGGTTTGATGTGAGAGTATGTTAGGTTAGTATGTTAGGTTAGGTTAGTATGTTAGGTTATGTTAGTATGTTTGGTTAGGTTAGTAGTTAGTATGTTGGTTAGTATGTTAGGTTAGGTTAGTATGTTAGGTTAGTATGTTAGGTTAGGTTAGTTGTTTTAGGTTAGTATGTTAGGTTAGGTTAGTATTGTTGGTTAGTATTTTAGGTTAGGGTTAGTATGTTTAGGTTGTATGTTAGGTTAGGTTAGTATGTTAGTATATGTTAGTATGTTAGGTTAGGTTAGTTGTTAGGTTAGGGTAGTATGTTAGGTTAGGTTATTATGTTGGTTAGTATGTTTAGGTAAGGTTAGTATGTTATGTTAGGTTGTAGTTTTTGGTTATGTTTATTATTGTTAGGTTAGGAAAGACAAATTATGTTAGGTTAGCGTTAGTTGTTAGGTTAGGTTAGTATGTTAGGCTTAGGGTTAGTATGTGTTAGGTATTAGGTTAGTATGTTTAGGTTCAGGTTAGTATTATAGGATAGTATGTTAGGTTCGGTTATTATGTTAGGTTTAGGTTAGTATGTTAGGTGTAGGTTAGTATGTTAGGTTAGGATAGTATGTTAGGTTAGGTTAGTTATGTTAGGTTAGGTTAGAATGTTAGGTTAGTATTGCTTGGTTAGGTTAGTATGTTAGGTTAGGCTTTGCTATGTTAGGTTTAGGTTAGTATGTTAGGTTGGTTAGTATGTTAGGTTAGGTTAGTATGTTAGGTTAGGTTAGATCTATGTTAGGTTAGGTATAGTCTGTTAGGTTAGGTTAGTTTTATGTTAGGTGAGGTTAGTATGTTAGGTTAGGTTAGCTATGGTTAGGTTAGGTTAGGTTAGTTGGTTAGGTATAGGTTAGGTTAGGTTTGGTTTGGTTTGGTTTGGTTGGTTAGGTTAGGTATAGGTTAGGTGCTTCTAGGTATAGGTTAGGTTTGGTTTGGTTTGGTTTGGTATTGGGGAGGTCTTAGGTCTAGGTTATAGGTTAGGTTAGGTATTAGGTTAGGTAAGGTTTGGTTAGATTAGTCACACTGGACCGACTTGGACCAGTGTAACTTTTGTAATGGTTCCATAGTCGGGCCGAAAGTCGTCGTAAAGCTTCTCTCTTTTATGTGCGGGTTATTTGTGTATGTTTAGGTAAGGGTTTGGTTAGGTTTTAGGTAGGTTTGGTTTAGGTTCTGTGTTCTGGTACGTGGTTAGGGTTAGGTTAGGTTAGTTATGTGTAAGTAAGGTTAGGTTAGAGTTTAGCGTTAGGTTAGGTTTGTTTGGTTAGGTTTTGTTAGGTTTGGTTAGGTTTGGTTAGGTTGGTTAAGGTTTTCGGTGTAGGTTTGGTTAGGTTTGTTAGTTAGGTTAGGTTAGGTTAGGTTAGGTTGTTGGTTCGGTTGGTTAGGTTCAGTTTGGTTATGTTAGGTTAGGTTAGGTTAGGTTAGGTTAGGTTAGGTTAGGTTAGGTTAGGTTAGGTTAGGTTAGGTTAGGTTCGGTTAGGTTAGGTTCGGTTTGGTTATGTAAGCTTTGGTTCGGTTAGGATTAAAAAACAGGGACGAGTGTTTCCGACTCTGGGTCTTAGACGTGACGTGCAACTTGAACACGTGCAAGACAAGGACTGTACTTACATACTGGGTCAGGACTGGGTAAGGGATGGGTAGCAGACCGAAGACATTATCGCTGGTAGGCGGGATTCCCCACTGGCTGGCAAAACATCTGCAGTGAAGATACCCAGATGTTGCACTTGTGTCTAACTTTTAACAAACATATTCACCCAACTCATCATCAGTGCAACCAAAACAATTAGTTTTGATAATCAGATTAACTCATGTGCAAATTCTTCTTAAATCCAACACAGTGAGCAAGCTTTCTGAATTAAAATCTTATTACAGCCTTAGTTTCTATTTCCCTTCTCAGGATTCCAGACCTAAGGGACACAAACTAGGGAATTGGTGAGGGTTTGAACGTTATGGTAAGTCAACGTTGAAACCCAGAGGCCAATGTGCTAACCACTCAACCAGCTGGCCTTGCATCCCTAGGTATAACTCACCAGTATCCCTCATGAGTCAGTGGTCTCCACTAGGGTCCGTGGGCCACTGGGTCCTTGCACCCAATGGGTTTACCGTGAAAACACACTGATGGTCGTGTCCACCACCACTGGGAACCACTGTAACTTAAAACTGACAACTCTAAATGTCAAACATCTCCTTACTCACTTATTGTTCTTTAGCATTCTCTTTGCTCGTTTCAGTGGGTCGCTCGTGGCAGACGTAAGCATGCTGCCCTCTCTCGGCGATTTGGAAGACTTCCTCTTTTTTTCCAATATGGCGCTGATGTGTGTAAGGAGGGGGGTAAATACTGTGGGCATCAGACTGGTTCGTTGGGGCCATATTCACAGCAAGCTGCTCCTGTTGCGTCGCCATTAATCAACCGGGGATACGTATGGTTTTCAGGATGAAGAATTGTATGGGTGTTAGCACTTAATGTGCATAAGGGGGTTTGTTAAGTTGTTGAAACACCGGAGTCTACAGCAGCGGCTGGTAGAGAAAATACCAGTATGTTCGAGTAGTCGTCAATTCTATGGGAGTGTCCCCGCCTTCATACGTCTCCAGGCCACTATACATGGGTTAGAGTGCGAAATGTACCGTTTTGAGGCTGATGAAACGGACCAATACGCAATGTTTTTAAGGACTACGGGACCGTTAACCTGGCACAGCCGGCAAGTGCGGTGGAAGGTGCATACGTGGGTACCCAGGTGGGCACGTGCACTTGAAAATAACGATACTGAACCCATACCATCATATGTTATATTGGAGGCCTTCAGGGACTCAGCTAATGGTGTCCTATGTGGGCAAACGGCAGGACATACAGGCATTGTGGTGGTTATGATCACATTTGCTGCCTATTGGAACAACAGACTCGACTCCAGGGGTTGAATGTATTGCCGCAGGGGAACCTGGGCAAGTTTGGACGTGCTCAGAGATACGGAAGGGACGTGGGCTGGTCGTCTGGGAACGTGGGAGGGTGGCGGAGGCAGAGCAGTGGCCGTGTGCGGACCTGTCGGCCTGTGGCTGGGGGGCCCTGTGGGACCCATTTTTGCTGATGGTGGGGGACGGCATGGTTCGGCGGAAGGAAGCCATTGAACGTGTCCTGCGAGAATGTGTCCTCCTCGCTGATTCCCAGTACGGATGGGGAGGTCGAGTGGTGTAACGAGGGCTGATGTGAGGAATGCCAGCAGACCTGTGTGAGACAGCAAACTGAGCCCACCGACTCTTGGTGATGTCTCACGGGGCACTGTGCCCAGAAGGGTGGGAAGGTCAGACATGTGGTGGAGGTGGAGGTTCAACGTGAGGTTTGTCACAGGAGGTGAGGATGGGAACAGGTGGAGTCACGCGCAAGCGTGAGGTGTGACATGGATTGTCATGATGATGTCCTGAATCAAGCACAGAGGACTGGCAACAAGGTGAGTGGTGGTGGAGGAGGTGGTGGTTGTCCCTCGGGGATTTGGGACCCGGAGCTGGACCGGGAGGGGTTGGCTGCCAGTAGGGACTGCAATAAGGAGGTCGATAAGGACATTGGTGGCATTGTGAGGAAGGTGTCCAAAGCACAGGGGGAAGAAAACCCACCGCTGGCTTAAGGTTGTATGAGAGTTAACGTTAAAGGTTTGGGCCAGGATGTGTAAGGTGGGCATGGTTGAAAGTGTTTTCTTGTGCCAGCATAGAGTGATGTTGTTATTTGTTGCAAGAGCACAATATCAAGGTGGGGCGTGTATTGGAGGTGAATGGTTATAGGGCTTTTGTGATGCAGACGGTGGGAGTCCTACTCCGGGAGGCGAGCCCATTTGTGGTTAGTAGAAGTGACAGGGGGGGCGACGAGGGGCGTATTATAAGAGTGGCATGGTGGTGAGGCGAGCAAGTGGCGTTAATGTCGGTGTTATGCTCCCGCAGAGAGCGATGCACGTCAGAAGCAGATTTTGTTGAGGGATGAGCTCGTTTATTTTTTCCGTTCTTTACCACCTGTTGCTATTGTGGGAGGGGATTGGAATTGTGTTATTCGCAGGGCAGACGTTTCCGAGCTGCGTGGGGCAGGGATTTTTCATATCCTAGGGGAATCTTCTGAGGAGATGTGTGTCTACGTGACGGTATTTGGGTGGGGCTTGGGAGGTGGAGCACACGTTTGTTAAGACAAGGAGGATATTGCGGCAAGGCTGATAGGGTGTGTGTACCATCACAAAGCGGGGTTAGAGTGGAGTACCTTGCGTACGGTGTAGTTGAATATTAGATCACTGTCTCGGTCGTGGTAGTCCTGGGGTGGGATGGGCTGGCCGGAGGTGGGAAGTGTTATTGGAAACTAACACGATGGATTTGAGTGATGAGGAGGGGGGCCAGGGAGGATTGAGACCGTTGTGGGCAGAGCTCAATGAGGAACGTGGTAGGGCATAGAGGATTTACTGGGGTGGTGGGTACGGGGTAGAGTTAAGGCACGAATACATAAAGTTTTATGTGAGGGAGGGGAAAGCATGATGCAACAATCGTATGGGCTCCTTCAGTACCTAGAGGGTAGGGTTGAGGGATGTACTTATGGGAGAGGTGGACACGGGGCGTATATCCTGTAGAGGAGATAGATACGATTGAAGGGAACGGATTCGTGAGCTGCTCAAAATTGAACGTTTTAATGCAGGTGGCATGTGCAAGGTGGGGGGGGTTGTGGAGGTGTTATGGGAGATCGACCATCGGCGTGTGTCTTTACGAGTCGATCAGCAGTGACGTCGGTCAGCACTGAGGTTTGTTAGGTTAATCTGTTTCACTCTGAAGTGGGGGATTATCGTTAGGGGCAAGTGTAGAGGACGACTGAGGGAATGAGTGTTTTGCGGGATGCATCGGTATGAGCAGTACTTTGGGACGTAGTGCAGTGGGAGGTGCAGCATTGCATAGTGTCTAGTGAACTAGTTGCCATGTTTCATTGGGGTAGTGACGAGTAGCACTGGGTCGGGAAGACTAGATGAGGGCGAGGTTTGGAACGGCATTAGTGAGTTGCGTACGGGAAAGGCGCAGGGAATTGAATGGGGATTACCTGTGGAATTTATCTGCAGAATTGGAAGTTAATGTGTGGATTCCTGGGGAGTTGATGAATATCTTGAAGGAGAAGGGGTTTGGGGGAGTTGCAAGGTCCACAGCTGTTGGTTTTGTTCTGTGTCCCCAAAGGGAGAGGACCAGGAATACCATCAAGGAATTATCGGGCGATATTCTTTACTTTTGTGAGGAGGAGTACAAAATTGTTTGCGGAAAATACTGGGAATCGCATGAAATGTGTGTGGGAGTATGTGTCGTTTCTGGAGGGCATATGGGTTGCCTGGCAGATCTATGGTCAGAGGGGTTCACGGACGTCTTATGGGGGTTTGTAGAGGATTTGGGGGGAAAAGGTGGGGCTTAATTGCTTTGGATTGGCATGGAGCTTTTGACCGTGTGGAAAAGGAAGCGTTGCGCAGATCCTTCTAAAGCAGAGATTTGGGGACAGAGGTTGTATGGAATGGGTGGAGACATTGTATCGAGGGGCGTCGTGTGCGGTGCAAATTAATGGTTGCTAGGGGAATGCAATGTGTATGGGGGCGGGCGGGTCTAGGCATGGATGTCACTATCTCAAATTCATGTTTGCCTGTGTTCAAGGACCCTTTTTTAAGTTCATTGAGGCACGTAATCTGTGGCGGGCGTGGGGACAGGGGATGGTGGGGGTGGGCCGGGTATTGTAGGATATGTCGTCGACCGTCGGGATACTTGTGCAGGAGGGAAAATGTTTGAGAGAGGTGGTGAGAGGTCATGCGTTATGTTTAGGGTGAAGGCTACGGGATGAGGGTTATTGTGGAGAAAGAAAATCTTGCTTCGATAAGTTTGGGAAATTGGGAACTGGAGGGGGTTGGGATGCTGTTGTGGAGTGGAGTGTAGTGGTAGCTTATAAGATAGTGAATAGTGTTTAAGGGAATCAAGTGCGGTCGGTGAGGGTGAAACTCAGAGATGTATTGTGGAATGGGTTGTGCGCATAGATTGGGAGTTTGCATCCGTATCGTTTGAATTGTTGCAGATGGCTATCGTGTTAAACATGTACTATACAGTAAGGTTTTTGGCATGTGGGGTGGCAGTGTTACCTTAACGGGGCATTGGAATTCACGGAGATTTGTTAAAGCTGGATGTTTAGGTTTATATGGCGGTTCTGGGTGTGATTGGCTGAGGAGGGAGGTGGTATAATGCTGCCGGTACGTCAGGGCGGGTTATGGTTATTGGATCTCCGGCGTTGGGTTTAAAATGTGTTTTCTTACGATGGGAATATGCTACAGGTCGGGTGTGGGGCGAGGGTTAAAGCTTCTGTATGGAGGGAGTGCTAGAGGTGGTATGTGTGGTGCAGGTTGAGGGGAATGTGAGGAGGTGCTGTGTTACCTCATGGTCCTAAGGCGGAGCCTGGCAAGTTCTATAGGGGTTTTGGCAAGAGTAATTGGGAGCGTATGTGGTGGGTGTCGGTGAGGGGAATATACCACTTGTACTGATGAGGTGAGATATTGGGTGTCGGTTCGGGTAAGTGAAGCTCATACTCGGTGCGGGATGGTTATGTCTCCATTCCTGCATGGCATTTTGCCTTCAGGTGTGGTCCTGCGGGCGAGGTGAATAGAGAGGAGAGTCGCGGTGTGGAGTTGTTGGTGGCGAAGATCGGCATATTCATGCGGTTGTATTTTTGCAAAATGTTTGGGGAATGTTAGGGATGGATGAGTTGGATTATCAGGCTAGTGGGAGGGAGGGGCATCATACCGGTGTTGAGAGCGCTCGTTTTGGATGTGGGAGGGATGCCAGAGAGTACACAACGTGCTTTGGCTTTTTAATGGTAGATTGTCGTGTAACGTGTCGTGGGGTCATGCGTGGGGAATGGGGTATTGGTGGTGGCGAGGAGGAAAGGAAACGTGTACTGGCAGTACTTTTTATACGGAAGGTTTGCAAGGAACAGGGAATATAGGATCGCGGTGGGAGGGAGCTTCCCCGTAGGTTATCGTAGTTTAATGATTGGATTCTTACTCGCTTTGTAGTGTGGGGGGGTTTTCATGGCTGGGGCAAGGATTGAGAATGTCATCCGGGCGTTTCAAATTTTTGGGGCTCGCCGTCGGGAGTGTACTCACCTAATTGTATCACCTAATTGTGGTTGCTGGTGGTCGAGAACCTCAGGCTCCGGCACCCATGCATATTCACTGATCACTACTGGGCCTCTCTCTCTTTGCTTCCGGAGTTTGTCATACCTCTTCTTTAAATCTATGTATGGGTTCCTGCCTCACTAATTCAATTGCTAGGATATTCACTTCTGACGACTCTAATGACTGATAAAATACTTCCTAACAGTACCTGTGACTCGTCCTGAGTATTCAGCTTCCAGTTTGTGACCCTTGTCCCTGTGGTCCCTCTTCTGGAACACCTATCTCTGTCCACTCTGTCTTTTTCCCCGTAGTATCTTGTATGTCGTTATTCCATGTTCTCCCATGACCCATTCTGTCCTCCCTAGTTGTAGTCAGTCCGATTTTCCCTTTTATCCTTTCCTCGTACGACATTCCTTGAGCTCTGGGACAGCCTTGTTTGAAAACCTTTGTTCTTTCTCTATCTTCTTGACGTGGCTTGACCGGTGTGGTTTCCAGATGGTGCTGCATATCCCAGTGATGGGCCTAAATTACTCAGTGTACAGTGTCTTGAACGATTATTTATTACGGTTAATCGGAAACGCATATTCTCAGGTTTGCCAGGCGCCTGTTTGTCTGCAGCGGTTATTTGGTTGATGTGTGCCTCGGTGATGTGCTCGGTGTTATGGTCCACCAAGGTATTTCTCCCTGAGTGAAGGTCTTGTAGTATTTGTCCACCTAGCCTATACTCTGTCTGTGGTCTTTTTTGCCCCTCCCCAATACTCATGACTTTGGCATTTGGATGGTTTGAATTCGAGAAGCCTGTTATGGCCACAACATGTCCAGCAATGTCAAGGACTTTTGCAGTCTGCCTCATCCTCGTCAGATTTTAATTCTTCGTCATCTACTTCACGTCATCTGCGAAGGGGACACTTCAGAGTCTATTCCTTCATCATGTCAGTTCAACACATATATCAATTTAAGCACCTGGTACTAGAAATCTTGAGCCCTGTGGGTCCCCCGCTCGTATCTGGCGCCCACTGGTGATACCTCTTCACGTACC